CACTGGCTTCGTCGTAAACGGGTCATCTCGGTCTCGCAAAACAAGAGAAAGACAAAGCGCCCTTTCATGAAGTCGTGTAGGGTTGCATGTTTGAGCCTTACGCCACAGACCACAACCTGAAGCTGAAAAAGCTCATTACCCTCGAGCCCCAAACCCCTTGCAGCCAAGGCTACTGCAGGTGGGGGGCTGGCAGCGGAGGTTTGCTACACTGCGGGCAAACAGACAGTTGTTGCATGCATGCGCGCAGGCATCCGAACTATCTCGGCGAGTTCATCTTTCATTGCGGGATCTCGTTTCTTACTTGGAATCTGGTGCGCTCTTCACACTTGCTAGCTTATTCGCATATTTGTACATTGTCAACAATGAAACTGTGCTAGTTGGCCCCATGATGGCCAACAGAGAGCAATGGGCAATCTCTCCGGCAAGGTGCATGGGCCTGTGTGGGACTCCAATTCAGGTCGCAGCCTGTGTGCACTCCTCAGAGAAGGTAGCCAGCACAGCATTGGCGGCTATGAAGCTCGGAAATGCAGAGGTGTTTCCAACCTTCTTCATGGCCTTCACGCTTCACAACTCGGCTGCACGGTCCGACAAGGTTCTGCAAACCGGGAGTCGGGAGAATCGGGAGAAGCTTCAGCTTGCGGTCACCGTAGGAAGCTGACCACCGGTACAAGAACTGCGATGGCTATGCGCAGTGGGTGGAGAGTACCCCGATCTTGTTCCCAGGACCAACTGCTTGCTGTTGTAGCAAAGACTGATCATGACCTGATCATAGCTGCGGCATGCAGGATCCAAGGGCGACTTCGTGAAGCTTGCATCCTAGATCAAGATGGAGTCACCAATGGTTTGTGCTGCACCAGCGGGAGGCAAGCTCGCAATCACTGGGTGATTAGGCGCCTTCCCATGGCTTGATTCCTACCTCGATATCCCCAACACGGAAATTGCGGCATGAAGCCCTGCGGTCCCGATACCCCGATACCCGTGACACCTTGCCCAGGATTAGGGGGTCTCAGACTGCAGCCTCCAGGTGCTTCTGATTGGCTCGAAGGAGGACAACCACCTGACGATGCATGGGTCTCCTGGGAAGTCGACATGAAGTGAGTCCCTGGAAGAAGCCAAGAAGCAGTCCTCTGAAGATGCGCTGCGCCGGCATCGAAGCTCCTACCGCCCAGGTGGTCACGAGGGCTTAGGATTCAAGATTTAACCCTTTAGGCATTACTGCCTACAAGCTGTGCTGTTGCTACCGGAGTGAAGTGGGCATGATCACCAAAAGCCTTGTCGCCCAAAGATCCAGCCCGTGTCTAGCCATTGCAAGCACAGATCAGCCTTCTTGCACCCCGAGACTCGGCTCTTCCACTTACAGGGCCTGACGTCTCCATGACAGTCTCCAACCTTCTCGTTTTTGGCCCGAGAACCACGTTCCCCACAATCATCTCGTCCGTAGTGTAAGAGAAGTCGACGGCAATGTCTTACAGGTTGCGAAGGGTTAGGCCAGCCAGAGGCGACAGAGCTGCGCTGGTGCCACAAAGCGAAAATGGGGCCGAGGGCTCTTCATGCAGAACTTGCAGCTTCAGGGACCAGCACGCATGTAAAACATATTTCGTTCGTGATTCCAAGTGGCTCCAGAGCTTGCACAGCCACCCCCTTGCTGTATATGCGCCACTATCGCAGCGTGAGCGAGGTCAACATCATGCTTGCATTGACCAACGTTTAGGAAAGGCTTCAGCGCTCACAAAGCAGACTTGGGGCATCCCCAGGCCTGACCTTGGAGGACATGGTCGGCGGCTCTGACGTGAACCTGGCCATTAATTCTTGCGACACGACTTAAGATCTGCGTCTAAGAACACACGCGTTACTGCATGGCCAGGCAGCATTTTGCAAGAAGATCGATGCAAAGCCCAGCGAGTGCTCCTGCAAAGTCACTCTTCGTCACAAATCCCTTTATGTCGCAGTGGGCCTCGAAGGTACAAGGAGTTTCTGGAGGAGTGGCCCTTCAGTGAGCAGGCATCACTATGATCCCAGCTTTGTCAGTCCGGCAGCACCATGCCCCATGCAGAACATCCAGTCAGAGCGTAATCGAGGCTTTCTCGCTCGCACCGAAGAGCAAGCTCCCCCCCCCATGCCTCGTCAGGCAAGAGCTCTCGCATGGCTTCAGCCTCCAAAGAAGAAGAGGATGCCACGTCCCAAACCCTAAATGTTGTGTCCATCGAGTGATCACCGATGACTTCATCTCAACCGTTCCTGCGGGTAGGGCCGTAGTCAGGGGAAGGCCTTGGCACCAAACTGGTGTTCCTGGAGTTCGAGGTATGTTCCAAAATCCGGACGACAATGCTGTTGCATCAAGAGAGTCGAGACTCCACGGGACTCGGTCTTTAAGGATGTCTGGTTTCCAGAGTCGTTGCAGGTTCCGAAGCAACTGGAGCGGCCCGAGCCAAGGCCTTAGCTATCCCAACGCTGCTGGCGAAACAGTAACTCATAATCTCGATTTCAAAGAGATGACCGGCAACGGGCAACTTTGCCAATTTCAAGAAATGTTCGATTCTGGCGAATACGGGGGGACCATTGGACACAGACGGGAGCCTGTCCCAACACGCGCTGGGAAAGGCACAGGGCTGCAGGAAGCCTCGAAGATTCCCGCATTCGTTTCATCCTAGATGTTGGGCCCCGTTTATGGCTGCAAGGGCCCGTTCAGCAGCCCCCAGGTTGAAGGTATCGAAGCAAGCACTCCACTTCTTCAGAGTTTCAGTTCGCCAGGAAGTTGTCACAATGTCACCAGTTCGAGCTCATTATTCCAAGATTCTGTCACAGCTGCAACAGCTGGACTAAGGCAAGGCTACTGTGATCACGCACTGGCTTCTACATACAATGCTTCTCTAAGTGAAGCTAGAGATGGTAAGCTCTTCCGACTTCCTGTTTAACGACGTCTGCAAGTACCATCGGATCAACTCCACGTCCACCCTTAGTACTCTTGTCCTGCTGCTTCCAGCAAGACCCAAGCCGCAAATCAGGTAAACCGAGCAAGTTCAAGAGGCGGAATTTCCAGAAGAAGCGGAAGTTCCGCAAGCAGAAGCCCGGCTTCGTTGAGTATTTTTTTCCTTTGCAAGTTTTGTTCCAGCTGTTTTTTTTCCAATATTTTCTGGCAACTCAATACATGTTGGCATATTTGTCTCTGTCTTCCTGCTCGCTGTCACCTAGGAGGGACGATGAACCAAGATCCGAAGTCGACAAAAGCCAATCTCGACCGAGGAGGCAGAAGTGACCTGCTTGTGCAGCTACCTTCTTCTTCTCTGATTAGACATGTGTGCTCGCCGCGCAAGGTCCTGTGCGTGTTCCATTCACGAATTCGTGCTCCTGCCGATATAGGTCTGGTGCAGTTTTCGCTCTTGCGCCGGGAAACCTGGCACACTCGTACTTTCCAGCATGTTGGGCTGTTCGATGGCGTCCGTCCAGTCAAAGGGGATTTTTTCGTGTCGCGGTGTTTGCAGATGGCGCCCGCGCCTTGGTTCCGTTCGCGCGCTCCTCGTGAAGTGCATGCCTGTCGTCGCCTGTACTTTAAAAAGAAAAACGGAGCACGCGGAGGGCGTCCGCAGCTCCTTTGGCTGGAATGTTACCTTGTGTAGCACCAAGGCAGTACGCGGAGGGCATCCGGAGTTCAATGTTTTGGGAGTACTCTTGGAATGCTGGTTCGTGTTCCTATGGTCTCTTGCTGTTTGGGGTCTGCGCTGTCATAATGCATCTATGTACTGAAGACCAAGCCGAAGCCCCTGAACATTGGAGCCGAAAATGTTAAGGCATTCAAGGGCTTCATGCGCGATTCAAGGGCTTACCAGTCGGGGTGTTTTTTGTTCGCATGAGGGCTCGGGAACATTCGGGAACTAAAGACTAGGACTGGGCACTGCAAAAAGCTCCCCGAGAATCCGCCCGTGCGTTTATCGTGATGTGGTCCCCTAGTGACTCTATTCCGCAACTTGCTACGAGACCCTGGCGGTGGCCATGAATTGACACAGAGCATGGATGTAAGGGTTCAGAGCTGTAGGGGGTTTGGTGTGCAGGGTCTCTGGAGCTTTTGGGTGGTGGCTCAGGTCAAGTTTCAAGAGGAAGTCCTGAACCCCGTCCCAAGCCAGGCTCTTCACCCTTTCAGGCGTAATTAGCCTCAACCGTACACCCTGAAGTGAGTGCCCGAAATCTCAAAGTTATGCAAAGCACGAAGAATTTAAGTCAACGCCACCTCTTCGAGTCACGTAGGCCGCGGCGACAGCGCCCCGATTTTGACGAAGGCCGCTTTGAGGCGCGTGCCCGTTTTTCGGGGTTAAGGAATTTCAGGGCGTGCAATTCTCCGAGAAATTCGCAACATGTAATTAGAGCCATCTGCAAGGGATGAGTGCATCCTGTTGAATGCATGCCTGAGACAGGCCGATCGGTCAGATCTCTTCTCACGGGCTGAGCTGTGAATGCTCGGCAGCGAAGTGTTGGCAAGGGAGGTGCTGGTTAGACAGCCTTCGACGCTTCTAGAGCTGCACAGCCTGAACCAGTAAGCGCCTGCATCAGCCACCTCGAAGCCCCACTCGGAAACCAAGAGTCCTGAAGAATACAGATACTCCGACTGGGACAAAGTGCCAAGCTCTGTCAACATTGGAAAATGCCAACCGCCAGCTCCTCTGCCACCAGGGCAAGCTTCTTGTCACTTCCGTAGCGCGCGCTGCGGAACAGCATGCTCAACTCACTTCGTGTGGGAGCAAGTTTATCTGTTATTCTGTTGAGCTTCAACTGATGTTGTCGCAACTACATCCTATCCTCAACCCACAAAGCCCTCAACTTTACCTCGAATCCCTAGGCCCTCAAGGCCCGGGCTCAGGGAAGTAGGGCTGCGTCCTGGACGCTTCGCGGAGGAAGCACGGCAGAAAATCTCAGGGCTGGACCGTCGCTGCAACCGTGAAGCGGACATTTTTTAGCTGTTTATAGAGTTCAGTTCTGAACGGAAGTTCGAGCTTTCTCAAAACGAGGTACCGAGAAGTACGGGTGCGACTGCTGCACGCGTTGATGCAAAGCGACTTCAACGGAAGGTGCACCACTGCTGTTGGCTTGCGACGCAATCGGGTCCGAAGGAATGCTTGTTCTTGCTTTCATCTCTGGCCGAACATGCCGGCCAGGCAGTACGATGCTGTTTTTTGCGAGAAGGCTCTCCTGTCACACATCCTGTCAAGCCGCGATCTGCGTCGTAAGTTCCAAAAGGCGCTCGCCACGATTGCAGACCAGTTCGGCTCCAAGCTCCTGCCATATCATCTTAGGAGAGCGTCAAGGCAGTGAACGTTGACGTCTTGAGTCCTCTCACTGGATCCACTCAGGCGAAGACTCTGCTACCAGATGCGAGCTCTTTGCAGGCAACCCCTGAGTGAATGCGGCCATGGTGTAAGATGCTCAGATTGCCCAAGTCCAAGACGCAGCGCAGGACAGTGCAAGCAGCCGCTGGCGGCAATGTGGGCAGAAACTCTGCCCGACTCTGAGGCACTTAGGCATAGAGTGGCAAACAATGCTGCAACAGAGCTCGTGTTTTGCATTTAGAGCCGTTAGGGTTAAGGATCTGTGAGGCAATTTGACTCTCCTACCCATCAGAGGCGGCCGAGAACCAAGCCAGCGGCCCCCAGTATTGACTTGTAAAGGCTTCTTCAAGTACTTTCCAGAGCGGCAGGGCCAAATTTCCCCAAACAGTGTGTCAGCACTGACAGACTAACAGGGGCTAGGTCGCCTAGTACGCTCCGGACCATGGGTTTTTCTCGAAGCTTGCTCGCATTTTGCACCAAAATCGCGCTCTCGTCTCTGCGCGGGCGTGGCCGCGCTCGCCCTGCATAAAACTCTCATCGCTGATTGACTGTTAGGTTACGTGCGAAGCTGTCATCGCTTTGGACTTCTGGGATGACATGGTCTGACTGTTCGGGGTCTACGCTGGCATACTGCAGAGAGCAACCCGCAAGACGTGCAGCTGCAAGTGGCGACAAGGCTCTTCGTCAGCAGCTGGCCCTCTTACACCAGAGGAGCGCTTCAGTTCGCGGGCTTCAGGGTCTCGGGTGAGTGGGCTCTGTGCGGGTGGCGGGTTTAACCAGAGCTCCTCCAAGAAAGATGCTAGAGCCGCTACAAGTAAAGTCCCAACTCTGGGCTCGGAAGACACTTTGCTTCTCCCACTCCCACGCCCACTCGCATTGTGGAGGAAGGTGCGCCGAGAAGCGGACCAGGCAAGGGAGGGCCTGGGATGACTCGTTACCCTCAGCATCCCCAAGCCCCTAACACCCCCCCGCCCCTCCAAGGCCAACCTTGAAGCCCCCGACAGCGCCAGGCTGCCACGCAGGAGGGCGGCCAGGGCCTGCGCAACTGGCGCCCCTCCGCCGGACTCTGAGAACGCCTACTGGACATATGAGTTCAGAGCCTCATGGTCGTGGACTTCAGGATCACGGGGACCGAAGCCTGATAAAGTCCTACAGTAGGTCTTGCAATCCTCAATATTTATACTAGTATTAATAATTTAATATTAAGAATATAAATAGTATGAATAATCTTAATAATTTGCAATGGCTCCTCAACCGACCAGGCCAGCCTGGAGATCCCTGATTCGCCGTCGGACATCCCGAACGAGCCCGAGGGTCGCCGGGACAGCAGGCAGGCTGGATTTGAGTTGGGGTGTTTAGGGAACTTCCACAAACGGTTTGTGGCTTCCTAGCTTCTTTCTGAAATCTGGGTAACTAGGTTTATTCACAAAAATGAATTCGTCGGTTTCTTCTCACAAAATGTGGGTTTCCAGATTGGCGTACAGCCGTGCGGCTCGTCGGCCTTTCAAGTTTCACGCGGCACCCTTAAGTCCACTCGAGTCATGACAATCAATCCATCATTACAGGGCTGCTGCGGTCTTGGAATCAAGGACATGCCACGGGATGTACACGAGAGAATTCATCTGAAGGAGCAGTCAGCGCGGGGTGGAGGACGACGAGAGCCTTGACCGAAGCCGCACGCGCTCGGAGTCCCTCGAGGACTGCCAAGTCCGAAGTTTACGGAAAACCACGGCCAGCCCAGTTCGAAAAAACGACCCAACGTTTCGTGCGAGGATGCCCCCCTAAGCTCCAGACACTTCCAAAACCCTTCGCCCCAGTGATTGCGCAGATGGGACGAGCCAGGAGGCGAGCATCATGAGCATCAGCCGGGTGCTTTTCCGGTCAGATGGCCCCCTAACCTCGAGACGCTTGCAAAACCCTTCGCCCCCAGTGATTGCGCAGATGGGACGAGCCAGGAGGCGAGCTTCATGAGCATCAGCTGGGTGCTTTTCCGGTCAGATGGCCCCCTAACCTCGAGACGCTTGCAAAACCCTTCGCCCCAGTGATTGCGCAGATGGGACGAGCCGGGAGGCGAGCATCATGAGCATCAGCTGGGCGCTTTTCCGGTCAGATGGCCCCCTAACCTCGAGACGCTTGCAAAACCCTTCGCCCCCAGTGATTGCGCAGATGGGACGAGGCGGGAGGCGAGCTTCATGAGCATCAGCTGGGTGCTTTTCCGGTCAGATGGCCCCCTAACCTCGAGACGCTTGCAAAACCCTTCGCCCCAGTGATTGCGCAGATGGGACGAGCCGAGAGGCGAGCATCATGAGCATCAGCTGGGCGCTTTTCCGGTCAGATGGCCCCCTAACCTCGAGACGCTTGCAAAACCCTTCGCCCCAGTGATTGCGCGCAGATGGGACGAGGCGGGAGGCGAGCATCATGAGCATCAGCCGGGCGCTTTTCCGGTCAGATGGTCCCTTAACCTCGAGACGCTTGCAAAACCCTTCGCCCCAGTGATTGTGCAGATGGGACGAAGCGGGAGGCGAGCATCATGAGCATCAGCTGGGTGCTTTTCTGGTCAGATGGCCCCCTAACCTCGAGACGCTTGCAAAACCCTTCGCCCCAGTGATTGCGCAGATGGGACGAGGCGGGAGGCGAGCATCATGAGCATCAGCTGGGCGCTTTTCCGGTCAGGTGGCCCCCTAACCTCGAGAGCATCATGAGCATCAGCGGACGAGGCGGGAGGCGAGCATCATGAGCATCAGCTGGGCGCTTTTCCGGTCAAGGTTTAATAACCCCTTTGCTGTGTTGCGGGTGTGGTTGGGGGGTTAGGGTTTAAGGTTTAATACCCCCGCGCCCCCCCCCTCCCCCCCCGTGTGGTGCGGGCGTGATTGGGGGGGTTCGGGATACCATTGGGGGGGGGGGATACCATGGGGGGGGTGACGGGGTGGGAGTGGGGGTAGGGCCCCGAGACCATCTATGAGCATCAGCTGGGCGGTTTTCCGGTCAGATAGCCCCCTAGAGACGCTTGCAAAACCCTTGTCCCCAGTGATTGCGCAGATGGGACGAGGCGGGAGGCGAGCATCATGAGCATCAGCTGGGCGCTTTTCCGGTCAGATGGCCCCCCTAACCTCGAGACGCTTGCAAAACCCTTCGCCCCAGTGATTGCGCAGATGGGACGAGCCGGGAGGCGAGCATCATGAGCATCAGCTGGGCGCTTTTCCGGTCAGATGGCCCCCTAACCTCGAGACGCTTGCAAAACCCTTCGTACCAGTGATTGCGCAGATGGGACGAGCCGGAAGGCGAGCATCATGAGCATCAGCTGGGCGCTTTTCCGCTCAGATGGCCCCCTAACCTCGAGACGCTTGCAAAACCCTTCGCCCCAGTGATTGCGCAGATGGGACGAGCCGGGAGGCGAGCATTATGAGCATCAGCCGGGTGTTTTTCCGGTTAGATGGCCCCCTAACCTCGAGACGCTCAAAACCCTTCGCCCCAGTGATTGCGCAGATGGGACGAGCCGGGAGGCGAGCATCATGAGCATCAGCCGGGTGCTTTTCCGGTCAGATGGCCCCCTAACCTCGCAGCTGGGCGCTTTTCCGGTCAGATGGCCCCCTAACCTCGAGACGCTTGCAAAACCCTTCGCCCCAGTGATTGTGCAGATGGGACAAGCCGGGAGGCGAGCATCATGAGAATCAGCCGGGCGCTTTTCCGGTCAGATGGCCCCCTAACCTCGAGCCGCTTGCAAAACCCTTCGCCCCAGTGATTGCACGGATGGGACGAGCCGGGAGGCGAGCATCATGAGCATCAGAGATGGCTCGAGACGCTTGCAAAACCCTTCGCCCCAGTGATTGCGCAGATGGGACGAGCCGGGAGGCGAGCATCATGAGCATCAGCCGGGCGCTTTTCCGGTCAGATGGCCCCCTAACCTCGAGACGCTTGCAAAACCTTCGCCCCAGTGATTGCGCAGATGGGACGAGCCGGGAGGCGAGCATCATGAGCATCAGCCGGGTGCTTTTCCGGTCAGATGGCCCCCTAACCTCGAGACGCTTGCAAAACCCTTCGCCCCAGTGATTGCGCAGATGGGACGAGCCAGGAGGCGAGCATCATGAGCATCAGCCGGGTGCTTTTCCGGTCAGATGGGCCCCCTAACCTCGAGACGCTTGCAAAACCCTTCGCCCCAGTGATTGCGCAGATGGGACGAGCCGGGAGGCGAGCATCATGAGCATCAGCCGGGTGCTTTTCCGGTCAGATGGCCCCCTAACCTCGAGACGCTTGCAAAACCCTTCGCCCCAGTGATTGCGCAGATGGGACGAGCCGGGAGGCGAGCATCATGAGCATCAGCCGGGTGCTTTTCCGGTCAGATGGCCCCCTAACCTCGAGACGCTTGCAAAACCCTTCGCCCCAGTGATTGCGCAGATGGGACGAGCCAGGAGGCGAGCATCATGAGCATCAGCCGGGTGCTTTTCCGGTCAGATGGCCCCCTATTCTCGAGACGCTTGCAAAACCCTTCGCCCCAGTGATTGCGCAGATGGGACGAGCATGGAGGCGAGCATCATGAGCATCAGCGGGTGCTTTTCCGGTCAGATGCCCCCCTAACCTCGAGACGCTTGCAAACCCTTCGCCCCAGTGATTGCGCCGATGGACGAGCAGGGAGGCGAGCATCTGAGCATCAGCCGGTGTTTTTCCGGTTAGATGGCCCCCTAACCTCGAGACGCTTGCAAAACCCTTCGCCCCAGTGATTGCGCAGATGGGACGAGCCGGGAGGCGAGCATCATGAGCATCAGCCGGGCGCTTTTCCGGTCAGATGGCCCCCTAACCTCGAGACGCTTGCAAAACCTTCGCCCCAGTGATTGCGCAGATGGGACGAGCCGGGAGGCGAGCATCATGAGCATCAGCCGGGTGCTTTTCCGGTCAGATGGCCCCCTAACCTCGAGACGCTTGCAAAACCCTTCGCCCCAGTGATTGCGCAGATGGGACGAGCCAGGAGGCGAGCATCATGAGCATCAGCCGGGTGCTTTTCCGGTCAGATGGGCCCCCTAACCTCGAGACGCTTGCAAAACCCTTCGCCCCAGTGATTGCGCAGATGGGACGGAGGCGAGCATCATGAGCATCAGCCGGGTGCTTTTCCGGTCAGATGGCCCCCTAACCTCGAGACGCTTGCAAAACCCTTCGCCCCCAGTGATTGCGCAGATGGGACGAGCCGGGAGGCGAGCATCATGAGCATCAGCCGGGTGCTTTTCCGGTCTGATGGCCCCCTAACCTTGAGACGCTTGCAAAACCCTTCGCCCCAGTGATTGCGCAGATGGGACGAGGCGGGAGGCGAGCATCATGAGCATCAGCCGGGTGTTTTTCCGGTTAGATGGCCCCCTACCCTCGAGACGCTTGCAAAACCCTTCGCCCCAGTGACTGCGCAGATGGGACGAGCCGGGAGGCGAGCATCATGAGCATCAGCCGGGTGCTTTTGCAGTCAGATGCCCCCCGAACCTCGAGACGCTTGCAGAACCCTTCGCCCCAGTGATTGCGCAGATGGGACGAGCCGGGAGGCGAGCATCATGAGCATCAGCCGGGTGCTTTTCCGGTCAGATGGCCCCCTAACCTCGAGACGCTTGCAAAACCCTTCGCCCCAGTGACTGCGCAGATGAGACGAGCCGGGAGGCGAGCATCATGAGCATCAGCCGGGTGCTTTTCCGGTCAGATGGCCCCCTAACCTCGAGACGCTTGCAAAACCCTTCGCCCCAGTGATTGCGCAGATGGGACGAGCCAGGAGGCGAGCATCATGAGCATCAGCCGGGTGCTTTTCCGGTCAGATGGCCCCCTAACCTCGAGACGCTTGCAAAACCCTTCGCCCCAGTGACTGCGCAGATGGGACGAGCCGGGAGGCGAGCATCATGAGCATCAGCCGGGTGCTTTTCCGGTCAGATGGCCCCCTAACCTCGAGACGCGTGCAAAACCCTTCGCCCCAGTGATTGCGCACATGGGACGAGGCGGGAGGCGAGCATCATGAGCATCAGCCGGGTGCTTTTCCGGTCAGATGGCCCCCTAACCTCGAGACGCTTGCCAAGCCCTTCGCCCCAGTGATTGCGCAGATGGGACGAGGCGGGAGGCGAGCATCATGAGCATCAGCCGGGTGCTTTTCCGGTCAGATGGCCCCCTATTCTCGAGACGCTTGCAAAACCCTTCGCCCCAGTGATTGCGCAGATGGGACGAGGCGGGAGGCGAGCATCATGAGCATCAGCCGGGTGCTTTTCCGGTCAGATGGCCCCCTAACCTCGAAACGCTTGCAAAACCCTTCGCCCCAGTGATTGCGCAGATGGGACGAGGCCGGAGGCGAGCATCATGAGCATCAGCCGGGACTGGAAGACATGATCCAAGTACACTGATGAGCTCAATTGCAGACATGGCCCAGGCTCCCCACGCCCGCTCCAAGAATCCCCAATCTTGAGAGCGCGCTCCGAAAGTCAACTGTCCGAAATGCGGCTTTAAGCCCATCAATGCGCTGAACGACTGCGTTCAAGCCTCAGAAGCCGCAACCGCCGGAATCTTGCAGTCCTACTTGCAGCCTGAAAGCATCTAAGGCATCTTAGATCCTCAAAGCCTACATGAAAAGTATAATCTGGACCGGAGGAAGACCGACCCAGGAAGACGCGGCCTGCACCCTAGGGGGATTTCGAGTTCGCTGTTGGAGTTGAGTTGAGACCTGGTTGAGTCTGGACTTCAGGGTTTAGGGTTTGAGCCGTAGGATCCGCGAAGTCAGGGACACGCGATGTGATGCTTATCCTGTCTTCCTGATCCAGCGAGGTACCGTTTCATTGATGGACAGCCGCCACTAAAATCCAAGAGCTCCTAAAATGCTCCGAAAGCAGTTCCCAAGCCCAAGCACTGAATACCCGAGCTGCAGGGTCTTGTTTGCACCGGATGTGAGCGAGCACGACGACACTCCAGTCTCGTCTCCCTCCTCGTTTCCTAGAGAGCCTTGTCGGCATGTGGCCCCTTGTGCCCCTTTGAGCCCAACGCTGGCTTCGAGATTGGCGTCAGGAGCTTTCAGAATTCTCGGGTCGAGGTCCAATCCATGGTATCCCACCAAGGAACGGCCAGCTTCAAACGTGAGCATCTGCAGGCCAGACAGCACGGCAATGTGTTTCGGGCGTGCAGGCGGCCGCATGCGAATGCTCCTGGCCATCTCTTTTGCACAGCACTGATAGCTGAAAAGTATTAGGGAGTGCAACTCGCGAAGTCCTCTGAGTCACCCCTCCTGGATCCTTGCTTGGTCTCGGACTCGCTAGCAACCCTATCTTGTGTCGAAATCCTCACCCAAACCAGCTAGGCGCTCTTAAACTCGACCAATCAACAGGATGCCCTCGCAAGAAGCTCGGTTGGAGTCCGAGGAGCCCAACCCCGCATACAGGCACCTCACAGTTCGAGGATTACACGGGTATGTGGCGTTGGAGGTTTCATTTTCGAAGGGCACCGGGAAGTACGGAAATTTGCAATGGAGGCAATGGAGGTCCTCCCACTACAGCCGCATGTTGAGACCTGGACCTCAAGTGATGAGAGACTTTGAGATTCGAATATGCAAGCTAGCAGCTAACGTCCAAGTCGCTGGTACTGCTAAGGTTTCATGCGCGTGTGTCAATCGCCACTTCCGTGCACCTTCCGCGCATACACATGGACAGAACGTTGCTGTCCCCCGACCCTTTGCTTTGACAAGCTTGCTTGGTCACACATACAAGGAACTCGGCAAGATTGTGGTTGCCTGTGAGCCACGCTCGACCTTTTTCTCCTCACGACTTGTGCAACTAAAACTATCCCAAAGTCCCAAAGTCCGAGTGCGGCAGCATCCCGGCCATGGAGCCTACAAAGACCAACGCTCCGAGCACGGGAACGAGGCCACCGAACCAGGCGACGGGGCCGGAAGCGCGAGAGCATCAGACCACGCCGACCACGGCGAGTCAACTCAGGAGCACTTTGCTGCGGAGTGGCACCCAGTGGACACAAACTAATGAGGTTGCTGAGCATGAAAAACCCCGCGCAACCCTGCAAAACCTGAGAATGGGCCATGGCTTGGAAGACGTCAAACCTGGAAAATGTTCTGGGGCAAGCGCAGATGGTTTGCAGGGTTTTCAGAAGGCTTGGCAAGCGCTGCCGACGAATCAAGTTTAGTTACAGAGCCTCTAGCTGGCACAACTGTGCTTGGTCCAGTAGCTGTTCGTAGAGTCGAAGCAGCTCTCGATGTGACAACTGTAGAACATCACGATGGAATTTGAATTACACAGAATCAGAGCAACACAGGGGCAGAGCGCATCTTCTCAGGCTCAACTCCCACTGCAAGAGAAGCCCCAAGAAACCCAAACTTCGAGGCTGTCTCACACCCACCATCACCCACTGTACCATAACACGAAGGGAGTTCATGATTTTGGGACGGCTCGACGCACCGCCACGGTTCGACGTTAACTTGCAAGGGCACGTGGGCAGGATGCACCATCCCGATGTTCGTGGTTCTGGAAGGGCAACAGCACAAAAGCCGCCGAATTCCGCCGACAACTAAATGGTGCAAGTCCTTCGACCTCGATGCCCGAAGATTCTGAGCCCTTCGGCCGTGAAAATGACAGAGGAAAGATGCCTGAAGTCCATGGCAGGTGCCCGTGTTTCGCGTGCTGCTTCCGACAGAGCAAGAAGCCGCGAGAAGACATCATCCGAGAGGCGCTGGGCAACTGACCATGTAGGATCATGTAGGGCCTTCGGATGCCTGAGGTAGATGCGGGGTTTAGGGATCATTGAAGTTGAAGAAGTTCCAGAGCTTAGCTGCGGATTGATTAACCCGCGGTGCAGCTAGGGCCTCAGGCGCTAAGGTTTCCCGGACTGGGCACCGCAAGTGTTAACCATGCAAGAGCTGATTGTGCCTCTACACTGGCACTGGCTGCAGGAGTGGAGATGCGATCCGAGCCTGCAGCAGTTTGGTAACCAGGAGCATGGTCCACCAAAATTTAATTACACAATTGGGGGACGTTTTGGAGTGGATGTCGTGAATGCATTCGTGGTTTGTCCCCTCCACCCCTTAACCCTCAAGCCCCTGAACTCTAATCCCCTCATACAAAGGACCTCACCCTCTTGGACGTCGGCGGTGTCCAGCTGCCTGTGGATCCGACGCAGTCCCTGGGAGCTTTGCAGAACAGGAGGCTGGTCGTCCAGGCTTCTCTGAACTTTAGGGGGCTCGAGGTGCAAGAGCTTCAGAAATCTTAGGTTTAGGATCCAGATTCATGTGGGGCAGCCAGGCTGCCAAGGCCCTTAGTCAAGCCCTCCGATCCCATATACCGGGCGAGGGTTAGGGCTTAGGATCGTTTTGGAAATCGGGCTTCGGTGGAACGGCACTTGGCAGTACTAGGCATAGGAGAGACATTTCCGAAACAAGAACCCCAAGCCTCCCAACCCGTGCACCCCTTTAAGCCCTTTAGGACTCGAGGACTCTAGGTCGCTACTGTGGGCCACACCGACAGCCAGCCTTCACATCTACAAACCCCAGCCTCTGAACTAGGACATTCAGTACGGGTCGCATGTCGCATGTGCCCCTTTCACCCTTTTTAGGTCTGCTGGGATCCCTTATGAACGAACAGAGATTTGCTTGCTAGGTTACTGAGGAACCGACTGAACCCTGAACCACGGCCCTACCCGTAAGGCCCTAAGTCTCAAGCCTGTTCAGCCTTTACCCGCCCAACTCTCCCTGCGAGGTGTTTCGTGGCGAACTCGGCCGTAGCCCCCGTACCGACCCCAGGAAGTGAGCCGCCATGCGCACCCCATGAACCTGTTAATTTTCCAGCTTGGGGAGTTGGGGCACTGGGCTTGGGCCATAGGCTTGGGCTTTGCGGTCTCCAGGTGGTGCTGGCGTACGAGGCGATCGAGGCTGATGAAGGCCTCGTCCATGTTAGATGCTTCTCAACTGCAATCGATGCAGCCGCAGGCGAGCACTCAAGCACCAGCCATCGGCTGTATGCAATGAAGAAGGGCGACGACCTACGGCAGGCAGCAAGGGATGCATGGCATGGGCTACGCAGAATCACAAAGCGGGCTCCGTTTTTCATCTTTTGTACACATGAGCCACATGTCCGGCAATGTGAGAATGACCCTGCTGGAGGACGCACTGGTGTTGCAGATCTTCCGCCTCATGGCCTTTTGCCTGCAACTTGTGGCACTGCATTTTAGGGCTTCATAGGGCTTCATGAGCATGAGCTGTCAGCATAAGAGAGTCCAAAAGTCGTCTCGACGTGATGCTACACGAGCTGGCAATGACGAGTGGCGCAGTTAGCCTCTTCATATCACTCGGTGGAGGAAAGTCAGGAGTTCGCCTGCTCTGGTCTTTGCGGGGATTGGGTTTCGTGGTTAAAACGAGCTCAAAAAAATAAGCAATACCATTCATGTGTGGCACTGAGGAGACGGCATGGGCAGAGCATGGCCTCAGAGAGGCTGCTCGAAGCAGATCATGTCACACGGCACTGTGTTGTCATGCATGTTGGCTATGCTAGCTCGTGCTTGTCGATCGCATCCATCACACTTCTGTTCGTTCGTTTGTCGAGTGACAACACGAGCCCTTCAGAAGAAGAATGAGCGTGAGCTGGCCAGGTGTCGCTCATGCCCTACAATGTGTTGGCGCTCTCTCCCAAGGATCCGACTGCATTGTCCTTCGTATGTCAAATTCTCGACACCTGGCAGCGCACTTCAACTTGAAGTCTCTCGACCTGTCTGGGGAAAACCCCAAGCGCAACAGGAAGAGAACATAAGGAACCAAGTCTTGACAGGAGGGATTCGCGGCCTTCGTGCCCAAAGCAAAGAACATCTCTCGCATCCTTGAGGCCGGCCACAGGTTTCGCTATTGGCATCTGAGAAGGGCTTTGGGGGTTTTGTTTAGGGTTTGGGGCGTGAAGGTGTATAGGGTTCAGGGTAAGCTCTGGCGCTTAAGGGTTCAAAACTTTGCCTGGGTGTTCTGCAAGACCGTTCTGGCTGTGGGTTGGCTTAGGCTTTCTTGTAGGCCTTCTTTGTTTGGGATCTTCATGGGTTTGGATAGATATTCGCCGAAAGTAAGAGGTTCTGTCAGGACATACTGGGTCTTTGATTTAATTCTGCGTTGCGTCTCTACCCAGCTTGCAAATGTTCGCAAGGATGCCCAGCAAGGCCCATCGCTGAGTCAGGATCTGCTTTCTCAGAAGCTTCCTTGCGAAGTAACAGGAGTTCGATGGCGACATCACCGAGTTCATCAAGAAGCATTGCCCGGGAGCCTGATACTTGCGCTGTGTTGGGTGGTAGCTTGGAGCGCCCCAGCCCAACAAAAGAAGTCCACGAACGCATCCTTGCTGGACGTGACTTTAAGAATGGGCCACGTTGCCATGAAGTTGCACATCTTACGAGAGCAGCACATTTGCCAAGCATGAGCCGGAGCCATAGAAACCAGAAACTCCCACATGGCTACACCAGACACCAGAAACCAGAAGAATGATAGCCCACTATGATGCAACCTGGCTCTTCCATAGATCTTTTTGATTGAAGCCACTGAAGGTAGCGGTTCCACCTCTTCGGCCTACGATCGGCTGTGCGGCAGCACGGCCGGGCATCTCGGAAGCATTCAGCTTCCGCACTGTTCGCAGGGGTCCTGCTGCTACAGCCCATGCGGTATGAGCTGACGACCCTTCACCATCGCTGCCTGACTCACGAAGTGGTCTGGGATTGAGGGATTGATTGAGGGTCTGAGGGAGATGCATGAAGCATGGAAGGTACTGCGTGGCCACGTACCTGCTGGGAGTCGGGGATCGGCATCTGGACAACATCATGATGACGGAGGACGATGATCCTCAGGGGTACTGTAGCGTATGACAGCCTCGCGATGGATTGCAATGAGTAGAAGGAAGTTCGTGAATTCGTGAAATAGGAACAAAGGATATACCTCGAGGCCCTAGTTCCCTACGAAGAACCTGCGGCTAAGCTCCACGAACTAGAAGGATGCAAGTCCAAGAACATCCTGCAATCGACAATTCCAGCCTACTCGAGAACCTAAGATGGCTCTCGCGCCGCCAACCTGCGCGGAACAGCCTGCCGAAGAAACTTGTGGTGCTAGAGGGAGACTCCGTAGAGCCCTTGTAGAGCGCTTGTGCGACAACGCAGTCGGTAAAGAAAAAGCCCGCACAGAAGCTGAGATGCAAAGCACAATAGCATGAAGATGAATTACAGCTTCATGAATTGAGCGGGGTTTGCGGGCGTGTTTCAAGTCAGGTGCTTCTAGGAATCTGCACTGAGGAAATACGCTTAATTGCCTTGGATTTAGTTTAGGTCCGACACGTCATCCCCTCCCCCACAAAATTCTAGTTCCACCCACACAAGCAACCAAAATGCCAAATCCGCTAGACCTGAAGCCACCCGAAGATCCCGAGACTAGGAGGGTCACTTCTTCCACATCGACTTCGGCTTCGTCCTGGGCGACGATCCCAAACCCGGAGCGCCCTCGGTGAGAGCGAGGAGCCCAGCGGTTGTGCGATAAACAAGCAGGTTTTGTTCTCAGGCTTTTTCTCAGCTTAAATACTACGTCGACTAGTTTTGTAGGCTTTTGCCGGGGATTGTTAACTTCCATTGCGAACTCAGATCTCGGCAGTGCCTGGGCCTTCTCACAACTTGTGGTCTTCACTCTTGCCCTCCACCTTGTGGTTCGAAAACCACATCGAAACAAGACACCTTGACCTCGAAAACCAGCAGAAAGAAAGAAGGTGCCCCGCGAGGTCCTCGAAGTCCTTCGGCCAGAGCCTCAGGTTTGAGTTGCGCTTTTGGGGCTTAGGGTTTAGGGCGTTTAGGGGTTTGCGAGGTTTGTGGGAGGGGTTGGCGCTGGGGACACGGGTGGCCTTCTGTACCGCACTGTAGATGGAAAGCCGATGAAAGCCGGCCTCAGGCAATGAGAGAAGATACTTACTCTTACAAGAGTCAAGAGTTCGTTGGGATTTTCTGGTGAGTGTGATGACAGGAACAACCACCGGGGTGATCGTCTGAGTCAATTATCGGTCTGGCAGGAAAGGTCGTATAAGATGTTGTGAACCTCGGGTCTTTCCGAGGCTGCTTGTCTTGGCGCAAAATGGCTCTTAACCTGTCTTGGAGCGACACAGAAACTGATCAAAGACATCTTGTCTCTCCATGCCACTCGGCTTGGTCGCTGCACAGGATATCTGGCAGATACGACCGCTTTCGCGAGCTTCTCAGGGAGGCCATGGGACATGTGGATGTGTTCTAGGAGGTCGGAGAAAGGAAGTTGGCTTCCAGTACTGAGGTTGATGCAGCAAAAAGTACCGCTTTGCTTTGTTGAATGATTCCAAGGTTAGTCCTCCCCGAAATGTTTAGTGTCATCGACAGCTAAACTTCCGCCAGTAAAGCTTGCATGACAGGCATTCACGCTCATTCGACGCACCGCACGCTTGTGGACGGCGCTGCTGTCACTGGCATCGAGTGCTGGAGGGTGGGGCAGCGGGTCCGAAACATCACCGAATTGTGATAGAATGGGTTTAGGATGCTCTCGTCCGTGTGCTTTGTCTTAATTCAGCCAGCTTCAGCAGGGATCGATGCCCGGCTGTCAGCACCCAAAACTGTGGACGCGTAGAGTAATTGCTCTGACAGGGAGTATAATATGGTACCCAGCGCAGAATTCTTATAAAGCGTGGCACTGGGAGGAATGGCGTGACGGTGTTGAGAGATGACGCGGAGCGGGCAATCCACACTGCCGCGGTCTCAACAGTAAGTATGAAAGGCCCATAAAGGCCCCTTCAGTAGGGTTTAGGGTTGAGGGTGCTTAAGACGACCTTAGACAGGAACCCGGGTCACAAATGAATTTGAGCATTATTCCATTGTTCGTGAAAGGTCAGAGAGCGGCTGCACCTCGAACTCGACGATGCATCGGCAGCAGCTGAGATCACAGCAGAGGCGTCGTCGGATTTGATCATCAGCTGAGACATTGCGTAGCAAGTATAATGTCTGTACATATTTTTTATACACTAGACATACATATGTGAGTGTACTCATGTACAGATATACGCATTTATATCTGCATACATATGCACAGAGTCCCATTTTGTTTGTTTACCGATTTGACATATTTGAACTGCCACGTTCAGCAAGGAATGCTAGCCTCTCTACGATAGACAAAGTTGTCGTGCTTTCCAGGTGGAGCACAACGCTGCTGCCATGCTTCCGGTCATCTACGACAAGCTGCATCAGGCTTCCAAGATGCACAGTTTCTGGGAAAGCCTGCGTCATCACTCCATTTGAATGCCGAATAGAAAACGCGCAGGCAGGCTTGTTCTGGCACTGAGCGGAGAGGCGGCATCGCTGGCATCTCAGTGTTGGAGTCCAGGAGTAGGGCTGAACTGAAGGGGCAATACTGGAACCAGTGCTCGCCTCACCAGTGCTCGCCTCACCATGCCCCACCAATTGAAGCTGATCTTCGACTCCGCGCAGGCATGCGCCACAGCGACTGAATACCTCAGCTCACCTTCAATGAGCTGTTCTGTTAACGAGCAAGGTGGAAGCTGTCCTACGTCTCTCGCTGCCGAATGTCGCCAACACATCATTATCCTGCAGACTCGATTACGCAGATCAGCTAAAGCCATTTGCCCAACGCGTGCCTCTTGATTGCGCCGAAGAGGCTGAGAGACATTGGAAAGCTGCCTGTTAATGAAAGTGCCGCGTGGCACACTGTGTGGAACTTCATGATCGAAGTTTCACCTCGAAGCATCCATCGATTTGTCACGTATAGCGCAAGCTAGTCCCCAAAACAGCTCGAACGCCTGCTTCGCTGGACACTGGAGCATCTACTTCTCGAGCATGCAAAGATGCATATCGAGTTGGCCCTATGGTAGACATGGATCAGGCCGTGATACTGAAAGTTTGCCACCAAGCTCGCGGGGTCTGTGGTCTCCTATGGTGTCCGACCATATTTGGGGCCGGGTGTGTGTCACGGTTTGGGTCCGTGGTCTCCCACGCTCTCCGATCATGAGCGCAATTGGGGCGGGTGGGTGTCAAGCGGCTTGGGTCCGTGGTCTCCTATTGCCGGGAAGGTGTCACGCAGTTTGGGTTCGTGATCCCACGGTTTCCGATCATGACCGGGGTGTGTCACGTTTGGGTCCGTGATCTCCCATGGTCTTTGGAACACAATTGCTTAAGAGAATCAATCTCATTCAAAACAGTTTCAAAAAAATCAAAACCGAAACGCAGTTCAAATATCCCCAAAACTACACGACACCAAAACCCCAAAGCGATTGCTGTGTTCTGCTCTGCAGTTCCGGCAAGACCGGTAAGAGTTTTGTTTTTGCTGTTGATGCATTTTGCTGTTGCTGCGGCGGGAGGAGGAGGGTGGGGGTTGTTTTTGCTATTGGTGTTAGTTGTCTTTGCTTTTGGTGCGGGGGGGTGCTAAGCGCAAAACGCATCCCGTCGCACCAAAAGGAAAAAAAGCAAAGAACGCAAAGAACGCAGCAACAGGAAGAAAGCATCAGCAGCAAAAACAAACACTCTTACCCATTTGGGACCCCACTTTCAGATGGCGTAGTCCCAGCAGCCGTTTTGCTCAGTTCCAGGCGACTCGCTGTTGGGAAAAATGCTGAGTAGGCAGACGGTCGACAAAGCCTCATCAGCTCGAGGCAGGACGTGGGAGATCACAATCTCAGAGGTTAGAGTTGCTTGCAAGAGGCTGGTGTACATGTCGCAATGTGTGGCAGTGTCGCGTTGAGCCTTTTTGGGCCTCCAGGCTTCCCCATGCAGCGACATGTCGATGGATTTGCAAAGATCTCGCGCACGAGCGAGCCAAGGCGAGACGATCTAAGGAACGCAGACTCAAGCATCCAGGTTGATGCACTCCGAGGCTTTTGTCGGAAGATTGACCTTCTGCTTGATTGGCTCAGGCAATGAGATCCTTTACGTGAGCTTTGACCAGGCCAGTGCTGCCGGGAGTCGCAGAATGCACGGCCACTCCATGTGTGTTGCATGGGAGTGCGCAGGCGTTATCCTTTGCGGAATTCCGACCAGTGTCTCCGCACTTATCCGAAACTTGCCTGCCTTCTCGCATATGCTAGAACACTGTGATTCTATTTGCATCTCAGCTGTGACACTGGGTGGGTTGAGAGGACATCACCTGCTTCGTCTGCGGGACCGAGGGCGGATTCCGTGTCTGCAGGACGGGGCCTGTTGTATCCATGCTGCTGCCAAGAACACCAGCACCCAGCACTCCCAACATCCTTGGAACCTCACCTTACTGAGGCTCGACGTCGTAAGCCGAATTGCCCATTACACTGATCATGGAATGGCAGCTACTGCACCCGCACTTTCAGGACCCTTTCCACCTGACTTTCAGAAGAGATTTCGAGGAGCCTCAGCGATGTTGAGTTCACAACTTCGTCGAAGCCCAAGCCGAAGCATTGATTCCACGAGTATAAAGATTGTATCCACTGTACCGGAGCCATATATGGAGCCCTGCATTGCGTGCCAAGCTCGCACAGGATGGCAGCGTCTATATAAGTCGTTCGTATGCTGGTGGCCTGTCGCACTTGTCGGCTTGCGCGCACTGTTAGCCGAATTTAGCAGTACCGGTAGCTGTTGAGATGCACTGCAGTGTTAGTCGGGTTTACTGCACTTTCGGCTCTCTTGGAGAAGTGAAGCCTTGACGATGCTGAATTCACCGGCGGCAAAGGTCCGCCAGCAAGTGCGATGTTTGTGATTTGGAGAGCGGCCATTGTCGGCCTGTTGGTTGGGACATATTCATGTCTTGGTGAACCTGAGTGCGAAGCAGCAGATGAGATGGCGCATCTTCAATACCAGAAAACCCAAGATGTTCAGGGGCCCTTCTGTCCTCTGAGTGTCCTGAACTCTGGGGATTGTATTGGAGACGGCGCATGCCTGCGCTGTGAGCCTTCAGCAGACGGGATGAAGATCCCGACGAACGACAGCAACGGCTTTCCCAGCGGGTTTCTCTACTGTTTCAACGACCCGCCCCCGATCAACGAGGCTGCAACCTGCACCATCGAACGGAACAACATCAATTCCTACTCTTTCCAGAATCCGAATAATTACTTAAACTGTACGGGACCCTCCGCCTGCTTCGGCTTCCGACTCAGAGACTTCTCGGCTTTGTGTTGCGATGGGAACCAAGCGTGCCGGAACGATGACCGCCTTGTTTTACCCAACGAGTTCCGCCTCGTCAAGGGGAATCCGAACTGTGACCAGGACGTTTGTTGCCGAGGCATCAGATCCTGCAGTAATGGAGCCATCATCTCCGGAGCCCGCTCAGCAGCTTGTCGCAGTTTCAATGCCTGCGAAGAGGCCAACATGTTTCTCTCCAAGGACTTGTTCTGTTCCCGCCCCGTCGCATGTCGGCGAGGCAACTTCAGCTTTTCCGGAGGTGGGTCTCACTGCGTCCAATGCCTCGATGCCGGTAGTCCCATAGAACCCTTCGCACAGCCCTGCGAAGAGAGCCAGATGTCCTTCAATGCTGGCAACGCAGAGCTGCAATGTGCTCGAAACACTTGCAACAACTCGGTGATTTCATTGACTGGATCAGCATGTGTCCACATCCGGTGCGAAGACAGTATTAGTTGTGGCAGCATGGCCGTCAATGATGACGATTCAAGTAGCAACTCCTGCTTCTGCAGTGGTCCTGGATGCAGCAATTTGGTGGGGACCTTGACTTGCAACGAACCGTCGACGGCGTCCCCATGTGGCGAGAACATCTGCAAGAGCGATGGAACTCCATCGGCTTTCTGCGACCGAGGCTTGGCCGATCCGCCTGATTGCTCCTCGTGCGCCACGGGGGGTGGCATGCATGGCGATCCACACATCTCCACTTTGGATGGACGCAGTTATACGGTGCGAGCTCAAGGGAACTTTCTACTCTGGGGCTTTTCCGGTTTGGATGCCGAAATTCAGTCAGAGAAGGGCCTCATGAAAAAAGTTCCACTGGATTTCCGAATCTATGCCAACTACGCAGGCCAAAAGTCTTGGGCAAAGGGAATTCTCTTGGTTGACCACTCCGGAGTCACAGAGCCGCGCAAGGCTTTGGAGTTCACGTCCCAGGACTGCGCCTGGAAGACCAAAACGGGGCTTGACAGCTGGCAAACTTTGAAATTGAAGAAGGATGATGCCGGCTTCCTCCAGAATCTAGTGGATGCTGACGGTGCCATCTTTGGTGCTTTCAAGGTGACGAAGTCTGCGAAAGGAGCTCCAGGCGCCTTCCTGCACAGCGTGCAGCTGTTTATGGGCACACAAAGCGGATTGACAGAAATTGCGCAGCTATGGGTAACATGCAGGGCAGGTACTCGCCTCGCAGCCAAGCTGAAAATGTCCAGTGTGGTGCAGAATCGCTTTGTCACGGGAGAACTTGCTCTTAGCGGCCACTCTTCTCTCGTGACAGGTTCCACGAAACGCAGAGGAGTGAGCCTCGCGACGTCAGACATGGAGTTTGCAGAGCACTCAGGCTGGAGGAATCTGGGTGGGAGTGAGACAGCCGCAACCTACTTGGCATCGATGCAAGAAGTTGCGCACCTGAGTTTGCTAGCTGTGAATCGCTGCGCCGCCGAAGAGAGAACCGAAGCTGTGAAGATGTGCCAAAAACACTTAGCCAAATCAGGAAATACCGCAGCACAAGAGAATTTCTTAGCTGACTGTGCCTTCGACATTTGTGGCGATGGCGGCGAAGCTGCCGCCCAGCTTGCAGCAGATCTGCTCAACTTTGGAGAGTGAGAAGCGGCCGATTGGTTGTGCCTTCAACTTTTGTCTGTGCCGGGCGGTGAAATTGCCACCCAGCTTGTGCCAGATCTGCTCAAGTTTGGAGCAGAATGTAAACTTATAATTCGCAGAAGCCTATGGTGCCTTCGACATGCGCGCCGGTGGCGGTGAGATTGCCGCCCAGCTTGAGGCAGAAAGTCCTTAAGTGCTGCATTCCTTGCCACAAGGCCTTCTCCATGGACTTCCTCTGTCCCTTTTCGTGGCCTTTCGGGCAAAGAGGGAGCTTCCACGAGCAACACGATTTTACCGCTTGAGTGAACGAAGCAAATACGGGCGTAAGAAAAGAATAATGAAGGCCCGACAAATGCTATTTATATTGTGTCTATATTTAAATGCCCGTATTCGTAATGTAGGCACGAAATAGGGCATTCATTGGCTTTTTTGTTCACTCATTATATTCACGGCCCGGGATACAATATTGATTGTATTATGGGCCCCACTTTGAGACTATATTAGGGGTTCAGGTTGCAAAAGGCCTGGGTTCCTTCAAATCGAAGCATGGAATTGGAGTCCTTGGAAGTTCTGCCTTCGCTGGGTCCCTTGGTGCCCTTCCAGGGGGACTTCTTGATGATGATGCATCTCGTCATAAACGCTACCAGGTACCTACTTTCAGACCCTCATTCAGGGCAACAAGCCATAATTACTCCAGCCCAACCCCAAAGTCCCCGCTAAAGCCAACTGCAACACAAACCCAAACCCTAAAACCAACGAAGTCCTTGTTTGCCATCACGTGAGGCGGCTGTTTCAGAGGCCGGGCCTCGGGATGAGACTTTTTGGCTTTATGCGGTTTAGGGGTTCGCTACCTCTCAGGCTCTTGGAGGGTTTAGGGGGTCAAAGGCAGCAGAATGGGATTTCAGAGCCTTGGGCAGCCTGTGCCAAGTGGCGCCCGACCAGACAAGCCCTTGGCGCAGAAAGAAGACACCCCAGTGCCCGATGTGTCGAATGGGGCTTGCAGCACCCCATCTCACAGGCACGCGCCGTTCGAAGTCCACCGCACCACATGCAGGCCTGGGGCCTGTGGCTGCACCATGGTATGCGGATTGCATCAAGGGGTCCTGAGATGTCCTGAGCATGTTCCTGAGCATGCCTTGTGCTGCTGGGTTCAAGCATTTTGCAGAATCATTGCTAGCAGTAGCTCTTCAAGCAGTATCGGCTGCTTTCGTTCTCACACTCGCGTCGAATCTCTGAGACTACGCAGGCAGGGGCAGCCCAGATTCAGACATGAGATTCTACTCTGCTAGGTTGTGGTGGTGGAACATCCGAAGCCAGTGTAGTGCTTCATGGGTTGGGAGCTTGCGCATGCCATCGTCTTCAATATGAAGCAACCATCAGCAACCTCACGCAATATCAGCTCTTGCAAGGTGCAGACAGTGCAGGACGATGCAGCATCAACTCCGAAAGCCCAAGTATAGCTTCAGTTCTTCTGGTGCAAGGCTGTTTCTTGCCCCATGCCACGCAGCACACTAGAGAACACTGTGTCATGGCAAGTCTGCATGAGAAAGAGCCAGCTACTGCGAACCATAAGCCGTGAAAGACGGAGCACCAACCAACTGGCTAGCCAACACTCGAACGACCTGAATCCATCCGTCGGACCGTAGGTTTAGGAGCGAAACGAAAGAGTTCAAGTCCAGCGTGAGGCCCCCGTTCCTTCTTTCTTTTCCTTCCGGGGCATAGGTGAGTGTGAATCCCGAGCGGGCCAATGTCCGAGCGCTGTGCTCTGCTCAGCCAATAAGAACAACGATCAACATTTGGGGCTGAAGCTGGGCTGGAACAAATAGATCGTCCACGGCGTCGTCATCCACCTCGGCAGCCTCGTCAAGGATGTCGCCCGTAACGGTGCCGTCAGCGATGCACGAATCGACCAAAGTGCGTTCATCCCCTTCGCAAGGTTGGGCAGGAACATCGCAGTCAACGGTGCCATCAACGATGCTCGAGTCGTTCACACTCCATCCATCCACTTCGCCAGCTACGGCAGGTACGTCGCCCTAAACGTTGCCGTCAACGATGCTCTAAGCATTCACTGTGCCGAAGTCCACTCCGCTAGCTCCGGCACGGATGTCGGCCTCAACTTTGCCACCAACGACGCTGAAAACCACCGAGAAACCAACTTCCAGGGACGTCGCGGCCACGCTTTTCTAAGTCCGCCATCTCTCTGCACCCATGCTCGTGGTCGAAGTCATACCAAAGCGCGGCGCTTCAACCCCTACCGGCAGCGGCGTCTGCCAGTATTCTCCATATTTCTCCATGAAGTCACTGACACAATTGACTCAGCCAGGGCTCCTGCCAGCCTCCTTGAGCTTTCTGTGGTCCTGGTGTGAGCAAGGACCCAGCGAAGGCTGCAGGCTAGAAATTGCGATTGCCACGAGGAGACAATCTGAGACAATGGCGAGATAAGGTGAACCAAGTGCTTGGGGTCTGGATCGTCCCAGGCAGGAGATCGCCACCGCGCTACCGCAGAGACACAAAGTGGCAGATCCCCCCGCCCCTCCGCCGCGATGTTTGTAGGGCCTTAAGACCTTCAAACCCCTCTCCTCAAAAACATTTTTAAAAACATAAGCCTCTCAAGAACCCCACCTGGCAGACCATGGCTGCCCCTTCGGTTTCGGCTCCTTCTCTCTTTGCGACCTCCTTCGACGCGCTGCCCAAGATTCTTCGGTATGAAAAGGACGCCCTCCAGGGAAGAGCTGTGGGAGGAATAGCTGTCAGGCTATGCATAGTTTGTGTGCTTTTGTGGAGGTCAGTTAGGGGTTTGAAGGGACTTAGAATGCCTCAGGCTTTGTTGAGCGCGTGAAGAGCTGCTGCAGTTGCTGTCTATGCAGTTTTCTTGCCTAAACAAGCCTGACATACGCCAGTCCTTGAATGGCATTCCGCCCGAAATGAGTCTTGTGGGACGAGCAGCACGTGAACCCGGGGGTTGTACCCATGTCCGGCTCAAATCAAAGAATCGCAAGTGTGTCCGAGCAGGCTTAAAGATGCGAAAGTGCCTTGACAGTTGATGGCAGGACAGCCTTTCCCCCAAAGAGCTTGAGGAATGGAGGGCTGGCCTCTTCGGCTGCAGAAATGAATCACTGGCTCTGAGGTGGTACCCCCTCTCACGAATCATGTGGCACTTCGCTAAATTGATTTCGCAGTTGTTTACCCTAACATATCGACCGTCTTGTAGCAGGAACGTAAAATTCCTATCATGCATCAGACTCAGAGCCTTGATGCGTCATTGGCATATCTTCGGCCATTGCCCGAAGCTACCCCCTAAGTCCTGAAACCCTGAGCCTCCACCCATTAAACTGGCAAACAAAAACAACACAACTGGTCCTGAAACCCCCCAAAATAGAAAGAAGCCTTGACACTGAGATTGTTTTTTGACCCATGGGTGGCCAAACCGAAGCCTAATGCCGAAGCCCGGACAATCCTGAGAGCCCTCAACTCTTGGCCCCCAAACCTTCCAAACATTGCTGAATTGTAAACGGCATAACTCGCACGAACCCGAATCTCCACACTTCTCAGGCCCAATCCCTCAATCCTACCAGCAGGCGCTCAAATCCCCCGAGCTTCGGGAATCCCAACACTCAAACTCCCACATCCCAAGCCTTTGATCCTAAACTTTGACAATGTAGATTTTACTGCCCCCTTTTTTATGGGGAAACGGCCCTGTGGAGTCCTAAACTGCCACCATCTCGGCCGCCGCCATGTGAAGCAAGGCGTTGCTTGGGAGGGAGAGCTGGACATGCAGCCGCTGGCCATTGTTGAGCGTCCAGGGTTTAGGGATAGTATTAGAGTCTTATTGGAGTTATCATCTGCGCTTTTCGAGGGATATTCTGGCTCTTAGAGGAGGTTACAAGTGGACAGGCCTGAGTCTGCAAATCGTTGCAGGATGTCTCAGTAGGATGTCTATGGTTGCAGCAGATAGCCTCCTCAGATGGGGTTCAGACATATGTACATGGATTGTGTTTAAGAGCTCTGAGGATTCGCAGGGGCTTCTCAACTTCAAATCGGGGGTCCAATTCCTACTCTGGTTTCCGTCGCCTTTTTTCTGATCTGGCTACGCCCCTGTCATCACATGCTGATCTATAGCTTTGGCCCAGCTAGCTTGTAGGCTGCACCGTCCTGCGTGTCTAGGAACGAGCTCCGCCTGCGCCGCGAAGCGTTCCTTGGCCAAGCGGACTGTTGGGAGCGGCATCAGCATTGTTCTTGAGAGAGCCTAAGGTTTTAGGGTTTGAGGGTTTTAGAGGCTGCTCGAGAGTCGCAGGGGGAGGGGGGGGGAGGGGTCACAGTTTGGGGTTTGATGCGGGACGCAGGCATTGTGTGCAGATCCTACTTGCTCCTTGATGGCCCCTGTAGACCTCTAAGATGTTAAAAGCTCGAACCGAAAGCGCCTAAACCCTGTATAAACCCGACAAACCCTGTAAATTTCATAAATCCTAAGCCCCCTAAGCCCCCTAAACCCTAAAATCCAAAATCGACCCAGGGTGTTGTGGAGCGATCCGACCCTCGTCGACCTGGACGACCAGAGCCGCATGTGGGAGATATTGCAGATGGGTGCCCAGCCTAATGGTAGGGTTCAGGGTCGGGCTTGGGGTGTAAGTTAGGGTTTATCGGTTTATGGGTTTATGGGTTTTGGTGTAGGCTGCGAGCTTTCACAAATGCTAAGCCTGTTTCCAGGGCTTGGCTGCGATCCGCCAAGTTCAAGAGGCAGGCAGCAAAGATGATCTTCACTTCTCCTGAGTATCCTCCCACACTAATGTCTGGGGGCAAAGTGGTTAGGAGTTGTCTCTTGACTGTCGCAGGTGCCATGTAGTTCAACTCAGCTTTTGTTGCTGAACACGGCAAGAAGTCCATCTCCAGCAGCCCTTGCAATTGACAGGCTTGAGACCCTAAACACTAAGCCCTAACCCCCCTAAACTCTACTCCACTACTCCACCCCTGAACTCTATATCTTGAACCCCCTAACCCCAAAT